ATCCTCTCTGCAAGATCTCCCTTCGTAAGATATGCTTAGGGTACAGACCCCGATTGGTTTGAAAATTTGTCCAGTATAAGATCGAAAAAGAACACTTGTTTTGCAAACTGGAACATGTAAGTCTAGTTTCTTGAAGTCATCATTATTTATTATGCTAACATGACTTTATTATGATCACACTCAAAACGTTGCTGTTTACCATTTAGAGATACGTTAATCATCATTCTGTCATCTCCTTCGTCATTCTTCAATACATTTATGATCCGTTGAACGTCGTATTCATATTCAGAATCAATTTCATCAACTCTTTTTACATTTTTCTCTGAAGACTGTAATTCCTGTATTCGTTTCGCTATGCAAACCTTTTCTATGTGTCCATCTTTATGACAATACCTGCAATTTAGTTGATCTATTAATCGGCAATTTTGTGTTTCTCGGTTATTCCTTCCACAGTGCAAACAGACATCTAAAAGTCCCAGTCTTTGTAGCCTTTTGTTTTTCCTGTCTTTCATTTTGCTTGAGTCATTAGAGAAATGGTTTTTGGTTGAGAAACTTTTATTCTTAGGGCCGATATTGTTCTTTGTTGTTTTACTTATTTTGTGAATGTCATTCTGGTTATAATTAGTATATAAAATCTGGTTGTCAAGTTTTGATGCCTCTATAGCCAAGGCGATTTCTAAGGCTTTGTCAAATGATATTTCCCCCAGTTGTAAGAGTTTTTCTCTGATGTCCGAGTCATATAAGCCTCTGATGAATTGAGCCCTGAGCATGAGGTTTATAACTGATTTTGTACATTTTCCTTCTTTACACCCAGATTTGAAATCTGCTGAACAAGCCAGTTGTTTGAGGACTGTGACATAATTTGTGATTGATTCATTTTCATCTTGTAAACGGGATAAGAATTTGTGCTGTTCTGTAAGTATGTTCTTCTTTGGGCTTAGGTGCTCATTTAGTAATATCAGTAATTCTTGATATGTTTTTGAGTCTGGTTTGTCTGGAGATGTTAGACTACAGATCAGATTGTAGTGCTTAGCACCCAAGCAATTGATTAAAAATAAACCTTTCAATTGTTCAGTCTCTGAATCATTGTCTGTCAATCCTTTTATTTTAAAAAATATTTCTAAACGCTGAGTGTAGCTTTCAAACGTTTCCTTACTTTCATCATAAGCATCAAACATCAAGGCATTGCTCTGTAGTAGTTCCTTGGTACTATGTTTTGATCTAGGCTGTTCTGTCTGTTGACTTGTATGTTGTGTCATTAATGTCATAAAACTGTTCAAAGTAGATATAAGGTCTTGTATTTCAGTCATTTTCTTCCTCGTCGCCAAATTATTAGATATAAAAATAATACAAAATATATGAACACAACTCTTGATACATGTTTATTTCTTAATAATAAATGTAAACATTGAATTATTTACAATATGAAATTATTCCAGTCATATGATCAATATTAAATAAAAGATAGATTATTTGGAATATATAACAGTAATCATTCATGTCATCAACTTTAAAAGTATTTGGGAGTTGTGTGTTAGTTACAGTTTTTTCCAATTAGATCACTCTGTTTTAAACATTTCCAAAATTTTCTCGAATCTTTACAGTCTGCAAGGTTATCAGTAAAATATTTCTTTTTTGCCTTCCATATTACACCTTTTAGTCTATTCCTAATTTTCTTGTACTCCGTCCAATCCTTATCTTGTCTAGTTTTCTTATACTTAGTTCTAAGTTTATTTTTTAATTTCGTTAACAAGATCACTTCCACATTTCTCCAAGGTGATTTCCTCTTCGCAACTCGTTTTGTTACTAGAGGTGCTAATGTGTCATAAATGTCTTTCACATTGCTTGTAATATATTCATTTATACAATCTACTCTAGTCATGTCTTTTACTTTTTCCCACTGTACACTTGCCAGTCTGGTAATCGCATCATTAAAGTTAAAGCGTTTAAAATCTATATAAGTAATTAATTTTGCTGAGCTTTTTTCTTGTTTGCATTTTAATTTACAGTAAATTAACTTATGGTCGGTGATTTTCTTTTTCCTATAATCTAAAATACTTGACACATCAATTACGCCACACATATCCAGTTGAGTAGATTTATTAGTGATAATGTGATCAATTAGTGTGGCTGACTTGGAAGTGACTCTTGTTGGTTCAGTTATATGTTGAACAGTGTCATATATTTTCAGCAGACGACGGAAATGTTTCGCTTCATAACAGGAAATTGATAGTAAATCAATGTTTGTATCACCTAAACATATGACGGAGTCAATTTCAGCTGCAATGTCTACAAACAATGCCCAAAACAAGGAACCACGACAAGTATAGCTAATTTGTGGTGGTCTGTACACGATGGCTACGCCAAGTTTAGCACCTTTTGTTTGAAGGACCACCGAGATAAATTCTATGCCTGGATCGTCTCCTGTTAAATACCTTCTTTGGAAAACCAAGCCTTGCTTAATGTACAGGGCAACACCTCCACCTCCTTTTCCAGCTCTGTCAGCCCTGAGGAGTACGTATCCAGGTATCTCATAGTGATCAGAAAGTGAACCCGGCTTAAGCCAAGCTTCAGAAATACCGAACACATCAAAATCAAAGTCAATTTCCAGTGCAGTCATCTCAACGAAACCTGTGTTTATAGAGCACATATTTAAATGAGCGATACACAGGTTTCTATTATTTCGTTTCCCGACAACAGGGGAGGGGCCGAAGTTGAAGAGCCTAGACTCTCCCCAACCTCACAGTGAGAAGTTGGCTTCTCACTGTGAGGCAGGGGAGACTCCATGCTCAGGCCCGACGCCAGTGCCGAATCAACTGATTTGTGGGTAGCATGTGCTGCCGAGCCTCCAATCATGCGGAGAGACGCAGGAATCACCGCTTTAAATAAGGAGACCAACCGCGACACACCACCCCTGTTAAGGTGTCTCCCATCACGAGCAAGGTGTCTCCGCGCAACCCAACAGTTAGCCTCCACGTACATGACATTAAAATTGTTGCACATAAGGTCAAGTTGTGTGTTAAAATCATAAAGAGCTTTGTATGTGATATCAGACCGAATTATTATGCTGTTTACATAGACTTTAGAATTTGGAAAATTTGTTTTTACAGTAAACAGCAAATCAGCCATGTCATGGAGAGCCTCCCGCTTGCCATGACCTCGTTGTAGCCAAGACCTCCCCTGTAACCCACCCTCAGGTTGTTCGTGCCGACATGAATATGTATTATATCTAGATCATAGTTGTTAATAGTTCCCGTTCGGGTTAGTTGCAGCCGGAAATGAGTGGCAGCCTGCAGGTTTGCCCAGCTGATGATGACGTCAAAGCTCCGTTGCAGGTCTTGTCACCAAAGTTAAACCATGTGATGGTAAGTCAGTTGAGGCTAGAACAGGACATATAACTACTTACAAGACACTTGCGACGGGACTAACTCATAACTAAGGCGCCAAACAACAAAATAAAATGTTCCTTACACTATGTGTATTGTCCAAACACTTTGCAATTACAAAAAAAAAACTGGTAAAATTAAAATATAACGAGATCATCAAATATCCACTGTTAACTCTAGCAGTCAGTACTGCCAACCGTCCCTGATTCTCTCGGGGAGTAATCCCCTGATTCTTTAGAGCACGTACAGTTATAGTACAATAACTGCCTGGCAGAGTTGGCATTTCCATTGTGCTGGAAAACAGCAAGGCTTGTGCTCTTAAGGAAGAGGAAAGGAGACCCAGAACTAACGTCCTCTTAGAGACCCCTCTGTATGTTGTATACCCCTGGGAAAGTCCTCGATAAGTTGATCCGTTCCCGACTAAATTCAGCCATGGTTGCTGCAGGGGACCTTAGCCCTCGTCAGAATTGATTTATAGGAAGGGGCCGTCAACCGTAATTGAGGAGGTGAAGCGAGCCGTGATAAGAGCTGAGGATTTAGAGGTATTGTGATACTATAAATTATCTGACAAACCTCTTCGAGGACTGCACTATCACCATCATCACTTAACATTGCGCTCAGCACAATCCGCGTATATGGTTACACTCTAATACAAAAAAGTGACGGTAATATATTTTTTCTAAAAACTAAAATTATATGTTCTTTTTTTCTAAAAACATATTAATTTGTTTACCGGCATATGTTTTCTTTCATGTTTTTTGGTGAAGCAGTACAATCAGCATCTGAATCTGACTCAGAACTAAAATCTAAATATTTTGACAACATGCTCACACAAGAAACTCTATAACATACTATAGCGAGAACTGTATGAAACTATGCTTCCCAATATGCGATGTTAACTGTGCAACACCGATTTTTTACCCAATGCTGCCTTCTGCTGTGTTGCACTGCCCGGACCATGCCGCACGGCTACGGATCAATATGTGCCGTATTTAACACTGTAAAGTGCACGCAAAGAGAGGCAAATTATGCAGCTTTTGGTGGTCCTAAAAATGAATACATAATTTCAGTACACTTTAATCCATCCTTTGTAATAAGGTATTTATCATCCTCCTGTAAGAAACTGACAGGAAAATGGAAGGAACAGTATAGAGAGAGGTCTTGAAATCATTGTCAAGAGAAGTAAATATTATATAGGACCAAGCCGGCAATCGAAATAATTTTAAAGGAGGAATTCTGACGTAATCCTGTAAAGCTTTGTTCCAATAATTTTTTTTTAGGAATAGACACAAAAATATTATTTTGAAAATCTATAGTTTTTATATAGGAATTAATAAGTTACCTCAACATTTTAATTAGTTCCATAATATAAACAACCAAAAGAGGATGTCATGCTGTTTCGTTGGTATGCACGACCAGTACTGTAATAGCCTTAAGTAAGAAAAGCATAATTTAAAACAAATGAGCATAAACCAATAAATTAATAAAGTTTCAATTTATGCTCTAATTCTGCTAAACTAGTCGACTGTATTCAAATAGAACATTCTCATGTGCTATTTTAAATAAACCGCCAAAATGCCCGTCGCCTCCCACCAATAGCAGCTAAATATCGCGGAAAGGTTAGTCTGTTCCAGCAAATCGCAGTGCTTGTTCCTTTCCGTGTTGGCTGGAAGTTTTGTTTTACCATAATGGCAACCGTCGTAGAAGTATTTCTGTTTGATTTGTGAAAATGTCAGTGAATTTAGTTTGATCGTAGGAATATTCTTGTGTCAGAGGAACCATAGGTTTGTAGGTCTCACTATTTTCACTAAAGTCGTCCCTATGTTTCTGCAACGCTGTTAGGTTTACAGTGACAAAAATAACCTGAAAATTTACTTCTTTTTGGTCACACGTCCACAGTTAAACTTATTTTTATTATATTTTCGTTGATATTATGTTACTGTCTTTACACAAATCGAAAAGATCAATAAGCACCAAGCATTAAAAAACAGTTTTATTCTAGCTGTTGTTACTGAAACAATAAATCAATCCTAGCCTATGTCAAATAGAAAATTGTTATCAGTCAACATAACCTTACTTTACTGTTGTTGTCATTTGAACATTCAAACATTTTATTAAAAATACTTTTATGTCCTAAGAAAGGCTAGTGCTTGTATTTTATCCACCATATTCCTGTTAATCAAGGCTGTTAAGATACATCAATCACAGACCAAAATTACATAAAATCAGTTCATTAAAATGAAAGGTTAGGCTGGTCATTGATCAATGGCTTGATGACATTGTAGCCTATATAACTTAGCCCTATTATTACTATTGTGTTGCATTGTTGGGCAAAGCATATTTCAGGATAGGTAACCTTCATCCGTGGTAGAAAGTGCACATATAGGCTAGATGACCAGAAGTACCATGGAATGGAATATTAGTGCCCAAGGATTTCCAACTAAACACTTAAGGTAAGAAAATGTATTCTTTTTTATGTTTTTGAATGTTCTGTAAGTGCAGTGACGTTACGTTTTAACTTTATGGTACTATAAGCGTGATCAAGGTCTTTGGTCTTTCAATGCTAAGTTAACTTAGTGAGTTAGGTTTATGTTCCAGACAATGTTTCCAATCAATTTAAGATGTGAAAGTCTTGCAATTGAATTCTTTTTTTTGTAGAATTATTGGGTTACCCTAATTTCTTTTCATTAAGTGCTAGAAACAAGAAGTTTTGCAATCAAAAGCACAAAATTTAAGGGTAAAAAATTCACAGAAGATACCTAAGAGCTAGCCTACGGGTTAAGACTAGACCTATATATTATCACCAGTGTCAAATAAATAAATACATTTTATTTTTGATTGCTTTTGAGTTGTTCTAGGTAGGTTTAATTTATTTGTGTAGGCCTATATTAAAAACGCTAGGCTATCTTAACCACTCATTTACAATAGGTAGTGGTATTTTAAGAGTGTTAAAAAGTTGAAATCTTCTTTGGTTCTTGCCAACTTTTGTACTGGTATCAAAGTTAAATGGGGACCGTAACTTATCTAATCTAACGTAGACTCAACCTATTACTTATAAATATAGGTAGCCTAATGCAGAATTCGGTTGATTTTTTTGTCACCTTTTGTAGTAAGAGTTGACGTTATGCTTCTCCATTTAAAAAAAGGTCGATAGCTTGAATAGTTTTTTATGACCCTAAAAGTTACGAGGGCAGTTTTTAAAGTAAGGGCCTGTTTGGTGGGGGATAAAATATGGCACTAGGAGGAAAAACCTATGCAAATAGGTAATTAAATTGAAATACCACCCGATTCGGTCGGTAACCCAAAAAAGCTTGCAAACGTCTTATAAACTAGATAATGAAATAGGCCTACTGTAGGCCTAAGAGTCACTCGCCAGCGTTTATTGTTCTATAAGGAGATGGGGAAGGCGTTGTGTCCAAGCCATGGTGTTCCATGCACAGAGGGGAAAATATCAGCTAAGGGAAAATGGATATCTTGATCTTATAGTAAGAGTCAACGCAAACAAAGGTCTTTCACAAAAAATCCCTTTGCGGTAGACCGATAAAGTCTACGTCCCCACGAATGAATGTCCTGAGAACCAGCTCATGAAACACGCACAAAAAGAACTCAAAGATTGAAGCACTGAGGAAATTAATTCAGCACAAACCACTGTATTATTTGAGAGATATTTAAGGAGATTTTAACTTAAGACAACTTTACAAAATAAAAAATAATTAGAGAAAGAGTATAGGTAGTAATCCATAACGCCCATGGAAAGGATCGGACAAGAGAGAAAAAAATAAATAGCCATATCGAACCGGCAACGAACAAACTAGGTAACAACACTACCTACTTAATTTTCATGTATAAGAGTACACTATGATAGGCAGGGAGGGGGACATCGTACAATACCTAGCCGGAAGCGATTTGCCGCTATGTCTATCTCTGTCTCTGTCTGCCTTACCTATGAAACTACATTACAAAAATACCAAACATAAAATTAATACCTATGTTATCCGTTGGGAAGTAATTATTAGGTCTAATAAAATGATTTCCAATTAATATTTCTTATAGACTGAACAGTGCTGGTTTCACATATGAATCCATAATTCGCTTGTACGCTGCAACAAAGCTCATCACTATTTACTGGCATTATTCATGAAGAGAAAGACACAAATTTCAGTTCTGTAACTGTCATTTACGCTTCACTGTGTGTTTTAAAAATGGTAGCCTATAAACAATCAAATCTCAGCCCGCATCTGACAGTGTTACAGTTTTTGATTACAATAAATGTAGGCTATTCAATGCTGACATTCATCGCCAAATGAATAAAAGGTGATGTCTGTTATGAAATAAGTTAGAGTAAATGTGCGGACAGAGTTAACTTATGTCGTGTAAAAATGGCTGTGAAAAAATTTTTCCATAGTGGTCTTCTCTTTGAAATGTCTGGGTACCCACAAAAAAATCAATTCCTTCTGGAATGAGCATTATCACGGCCATTTTTAAACTCCCTAGCATATTTTTGCATTTTCCACGCTACTAGTATCTTTGCACGTATTCTTACTAGTATGACTGCTGGGACGGGTGGCGTCGTCCTGTAATCCTGCTACTAGGAGGTTACGAATTGTGGATATTTATAGGCATGCACTGTGGATGCGATACTCCCTGGTGTGGATTAACGTCCGCACGAGTGAGTACTAAGACTATCCGCAGTACTATCCTGAAAATTATACCAATTCGTATATACCAAGACAAAAATGTGGTTCGGATTCCACTATAAACTGTAGGTTCTTTAGTTGCCATTAGCTGTAGGCCTATGGGCTATTAATCTGTGCCTCAGGAATAAGTCGGCCTTATTCACTAACAAGACTACAAGATCCCGCCACTCATCCTACACTCATCTCCATTCATACTTGGCTTAAAATACCTACATTGTATGGTCGCCATTTCATTGAAAAGTATAAAGTATCATAATCTCAAGCCATCCGGTGATGAATTTTGGTATTGGATATGTTTCTTCTAAAAAAAAAAAAACAACTTGACACTGGCCTTACCTCGAACAGGGTGAGAAATTTTATTTTTAAAAAATTATAAAAAAACACAGCAAAGCGTAGCCTACATGACGGCTACAGAGCTGAAATTTGTAATTCTTTTCACTAATGATGCTAGTTAATGGTGATGAGACTCGTTGAGGCTCGTGTTGTCGTGATGAGGCTGCGTACAAGGCAACTATTGGCAATTACTTTAAATATGACGGTTGCTGTATTGCGAGCGAGGTCGATTCTGGACTCAGACACCATTTCTCATTGGGATATCAGTAAAACAGAAATAAGAAAAGTTATTGAGAAGCCTGTGCTTGAAGATTAGAAGCTAATTTGAGAATATCTTAAACTTTTTCCGATTGGTCCTGATCATTTCCGAGTTGTGGCTGAGCTTTTCTAAAATTAAATTTTACATTTTAATAATTGATAAAACTCACACCGGACACAATGGTTTATATTTAACTCATATTTTGCTAGAATTATTTAGTCAGTAGGTACATAGCTTAATTTTTATTACGTTACAATAATCTTGTTGTTCTAAATGTCTTGTTGACTAGACACAGTTACCGACACCATGAACTAATGTTGTCATCAGCCCAATCAATCCTAATTTATAATACTTCTACTTAAAACGTCTCCAAGTACCACCGCAGCGACCTCAGCGTTACTAGGTGGTACAACTAGGTGGCACACTACATGTTGGGAAAAGGTGGTGTAGGGTATCCACAATCATACTGGAGACCTTCCAAATCAAACATATGAGGTAGAAGTGAGTCTATAGTTTGGGTTTTACTGAAGTACACACTGATGAAGAATATGTACAGTAGACTTTTTCGTATCATAACACCTTTTAACTCGACATCCGGTTCAACTGGACTGCACTTTAAGGTTGATTCACACACATCAGTCCAGTCACAGTTCTGTTACAGACCAGTCACAGTTTAGTCTCAGTTGAATCCGCAATTCCTCAGGCAACTGTCCGTCAGTTGGTTACAGTCAGTCTTCCGTCTCTAATATTTACATTGATGTTACAGTCAAATATTTAAAATTAAAACCCTACATTCTATCAAATTTTCACTGTCCATCTTGTTGATTGTTCCAAACAGTACTCAAAATATAAACACAATCATTTAAATAACAAAAACACTATTTTCTAACATCAATTGCCGTCAGGTGTCCGAACAATCCAAAAACATTGGTGGAAAGAAATCTGAAATTGACTGACCGACGCCGACAGAGCGACTGACGGACCTGCGCCAGATGAGTGTAGATAACGCAATTGAAACACTATTTTCATAATCGTTAATCCATTAAAGAATATTTTGGTTGACTGTGACGTGACTGATGTCTGAACTGTGACGTGCCATAACTGATAGGTATACGTGTGAATAAACCTTTAACCCGATAATTTTTATCAGCTAATTGGTTTAACCGGACTGGATCGGTTAGAAGTAAGCAGTACTGAAACGACTTTTTTCGTGGGACAAATTTTAGACCAGTGATCACGTATCCAAATACAATGCTCTCACAATTTTTAGAACATTTGGGTTAGTTCTCCAGTCATTCTCCGGTTTGATTTAAAAAACCATTTGCACCTATCTGTACTGGCCTGGTTCAGAGGAGATCAGAAAAGAGGGAGTTCTTCTGTAGTTAATTCATCACAAAGTTTTCAATCCTCAAAAATTTAATGGAATAAGTTAGGCTAGTCGATTTAAAAAAAAATCATTTACAAAAATTAGTCTCAGTCATCCCCGCATATACTA